AATTAATCTCACTCCTGCTTTTTGTGTTTACATTTTAAAATTATCAAAATAAGGAACTTTATTTGGAAAAAGCAAATGTCAATTTAGAATTCCTCAATACATGCAGTTTTCAACAACCTGATTTTCAGAGCTGTTCTTGGAGATCAGAAAGACAATCTGTCTGGGACTGGATTAACTGTATAATTTGGAGAGCTCCATTTGCTGGATAACTGTTGAACAATCATCCCATTTTTACTGCACATGTGTTTGTGTTACAAGAATACTGCTCTTAATCATAATGGACCCAACCCCATTCATTGGATCCAGTATCTACGTAACTGATTTGTTCCACCTCTTGTTTAATACTCTTTTGTTCAGCTATCTGAGGGTATTCAAAGAAAGTAAGGAATGTTTCTACTCTTTCAAATATGTCAGCATTCATAAGAGAAACATTCACTAATATTACTGGAATAGTTTAAAATATATTAGTGTTCTGGTCCTTGGAATAGACTACTTGGTGCTGCTGTAGTTGGTGTGAAGCAGTATTTTCATTTTTAAGCATGTATTTTTAGAAATTTGTAAAATGAATGAAAATTTTCTCAGGTCTGAGCATAAAAATCAACATTTTTTTCCTACTAAATTGAAAAATCCTGTTGAATTATTTCCTTTAAAATGCATGTGTCCTTCTCCCAAAGCAGTGTTTCACACTGTATGTAGTGTTGTTCTTAGTTTATAGAACAGTAGCAAAAGTGAGGGATTTTAGCATGCTGGGAAAACTGTTCCTACAGAGTAGTTATCAGTAGCTCGCAGTCAAGCTGGAGGGGCATATCAAGTGGGGTACCGCAGAGATCAGTTCTGGGTCTGGTTCTGTTCAATATCGTCATCAATGATTTAGATAATGGCATACAGAGTACACTTATAAAGTTTGCGGACCATACCAAGCTGGGAGGGGTTGCAAGTGCCTTGAAAGGACAGGATTAAAATTCAAAATTATCTGGACTAATTGGAGAAATGCTTTGAAGTAAACAGGATGAAATTCAATAAGGACAAATGCAAAAATACTCCACTTGGAAAGGAACAATCAGTTTCACACATACAAAACGGGAAATGATTGCCTATGAAGGAGTACTGCAGAAAGGGATCTGGGGGTCATAGTGGATTACAAGCTAAATATGAGTCAACAGTGTAACACTTTTGCAAAAAAATCAAATATCATTCTAGGATGGATTAGCAGGAGTATTGTAAGACATAAGTATTTCTTCCACTCTACTCTGCGCTGCTTAGGCCTCAACTCGAATATTATGTCCATTTCTGGGCACCACATTTCAGGAAAGATGTGGACAAATTGGAGAAAGTCCAGAGAAGAGCAAAAAATGATTAAAGGTGTAGAAAACATGACCTATGAGAAAAGACTGAAAACTCTGTTTGTTTAGTCTGGAGAAGAGAAGACTTAGAGCAGCAGGTCTCAACCAGAGGTCCGGGGCCCTCTGGGGGGCTGCGAGCAGGTTTCAGGGGGTCTGCCAACCATGGCTGGCATTAGACTCAGTAGGGTCCAGGGCAAAAAGCCAAAGTCCCGCCACGTGGGACTACAGCTGAGGGCCCCGAGCCCCACCACCTGGGGCTGAAGCTGAAGCCTGAGTAACTTAGCTTCGCTTTGCCCCCTATGGTGTGGGGCCCCAGGCAATTGCCCTACTTGATACACCCCTAACACAAGCCCTGTCTTTTATATGCAGAAAAACAGCTGTTGTGGCACATCTGGGCCGTGGAGTTCTTATAGCATGTTGGGGGGGGAGGCTCAGAAAGAAAAAGGTTGAGAACCCCTGACTTAGAGGGCACATGATAACAGTTTTCAAGTACATAAAAGGTTGTTACAAAGAGGAGGGAGAAAAATTGTTCCCCTTAACCTATGAGGATAAGACAAGAAGCAATGGGATTAAATTGCAGTAAGGGAGGTTTAGGTTGGACATTAAGAAAAACTTTCCAACTATCAAGGTAGTTAAGCACGGGAATAAATTGCCTAGGGAGATTGTGGAATTTCCATCTTTGGAGATTTTTAAGAGCAGGTTAGACAAACATCTTTCAGGGATGGACTAGGTAATACTTAGTCCTTCCTTGAGTGCAGGGGACTGGACTAGATGACCTTTCGGGGTCTCTTCCAGTCCTTCGATTCTATGATTCACACCATCTGCATTGTAGGAACCTTGTCACTACAGGACTTTGGAGACATCACGGTTTTTGAGCTTAATAGTTTCTGTTTTAACACTTTTGACAATGTTGTAGCACCATCAGAAACTAGAAACTGCTTATTGCTGAGGACCCTTTTCACTAGCCTGTAAGGATTATAACACAGCAGGTCTTTTGGGGATATACCATAGTATGAAGGGGTTATAACACAGCAGGTCCTTTGGGGATATATTAGGGGTCGGAAACATTCGGCATGCGGCTCGCCAGGGTAAGCACCCTGGCGAGCCGCGTGCCGAACATTGCCGACCCCTGGGATATACCATAGTATGAAGGGGTTATAACACAGCAGGTCCTTTGGGGATATACCATAGTATGAAGGGGTAATAACACAGCAGATGTAAAATGTGTATAGGAGTGATATTCTTATGCAGTCTAGTTAAAGACACCTTCTCTCAGTCTTGGAAGAATGAGTCTTGAGTGACTGTAAAATCTTGTATTAGATTATAAACTCTTCCAGTCAGGGGCCATGTCTCCTCTGTATTGTGAAGCACCTAATATGTTACTGGATGCTGTAAAATGAAACAATTTAATTATAATATTGAGTTTTAAATAGGCTTATTTTATACAATAATTAGATCAAAGGAAACAAACTGGATGGAATCTCCAAAAGCAAATCTCACACACACAAAAAATCAACAGGGTGATCAACATCACAAAAAGGGCACTGTTTATAGGCCCAAAGCTAATTGTATGGAATCCAATTAAAAAGGTGGGGATAGTAATCATATGATTATACAGTAACTCCTTGCTTAATGTTGTAGTTATGTTCTTGAAAAATGTGACTTTAAGCAAAACGATGTTAAGCAAATCCAATTTCCCCATAAAAATTAATGTAAATGGGGGGGAGTTAGATTCCAGGGAAATTGTTTTTGCCAGACAAAAGACATTATATACATATACATATATAAGTTATATACGTATAACTTTTAAACAATTTTAAACAAACAATTTAATGCAGGTATAAGTTTTAAACAATTTAATACTGTACTCAACAATGATGATTGTTAAGCTTGGTTGAGGTGGTGGAGTCAGAGGTGGAAGAGGGTGGATCGTCCGGCTGCTCCTCTTGCTGTTCTTCCTTAACCGTCACAACTCGAAAAAACGTATCTAGAGATGGTTGTTTTGCTTTCCTTTTTTCTTCTTGGTAAATTTCTTTATAGCAAGTTATTAGATGACCAACTCCCCTAATCACTTTAGAGCTGCGTTCCCTGTCAGGATCATCATCACTAAGGATCTGCAAACCAGCTTCAATCATTTGGAAAGCTTCAGAAAGACGTTTGACAGTCAAATTTTGATGGGTTGGTTCTTCTTTTACTTCTTGGCCCTCGTCTTCCATTGCTCTCATCATGTCTAGTTGCATCAGATCTTCATTGGTTAGCTCTTCTCCATGTGACTGCAGAAGTTGTGTAACGTCAGCTTCTTCCACTTTATCAAATCCTGCTTTCTTGGCCAAGCTGAGAATATCTTTCTTCATAGCAGGGACAATATCTTTAAATCCTTTTAAGTCACTGACACATTCAGGCCACAACTTCCACCACACACCATTCATGCATGCCTGAGTAACTTCAGCCCAGGACTCACCAATGTTATTGATGCACTTGAGGATGTTGTAGTCACGCCAAAATTGCCGAATCGTAGGCTTGCCTTCTCCATCAGTGCCTCTGATGAGCTGGTCGAAAGTACGGCGTAAGTAATATGCCTTAAATGCAGCGATGGCTCCTTGGTCCATAGGTTGGATGAGTGATGTGGTGTTAGGTGGCAGAAAGACAACTTTGACGTTTTCGCACAGGTCGTCCAGATTGATTGGATGAGCTGGTACATCAGCAATAAGTAATAAAATCTTGAAATCAAGATTTTCGTTGGCACAGTATTCCTTCCATGCAGGGACGGCATAGAGAGTCAGCCATTCTGAAAAAATAGCTCCAGTTATCCATGCCTTCTTATTGGATCTCCAAATGACTGGAAGGTCTTCCTTTGAATATCCCTTGAGAGCTCGTGGTGTTTCAAATTGGTACACTGTCAGCGGTTTCATCTTCATGTCTCCGGCAGCATTACCACCTAGAAGCAAGGTTAGGCGGTCTTTAACTGCTTTAAATCCAGGTGCTGTCTTCTTGTCTCGGGAAATGTAAGTTCGTTCAGGCATCATCTTCCAGTAGAGACTTGTTTCATTGACATTAAAGACTTGCTTAGGCGAATAGCCTCCTTCCTCAATTATTTTCTTGAGATACTCGGGGAAATTTTTAGCTGCTGCAGTATCGGCACTAGCCACCTCACCGGACATCTTCATGCTGTGCAGGTGGAAGCGCCTCTTGAACCGATCAAACCATCCCCGACTTGCCATGAACATCTCTGTCTGTGATCCTTCACCTTGGTCTCTCTTTAATTTGTCATACAAACTTTTTGCCTTAGCTTGTATCACAGGCATACTTAGATGTATGTTCCGCTGGTTTTGGTCCTCTATCCACACTGAGAGAAGACGCTCCATGTTTTCCATCAAACTACTTCTTGATCGACTTATTTTAGTAGCACTAAGCGGTGTTACACACCGAGCACTAGCCCTGATTTTGTCGGCATTACTCCGAATTGTTCTCACAGTGGTCGGAGTGAGACCTAGAGTGATGGCAATGTCTACCGCACGCTCACCTGCATCAAAATGCCTTAAAACATCTAATTTAGTACCCAAACTAATGGTTTTCCTGGTTTTCTTACTGCTAGTGGTACTGCTACTACCAGGCACTCCACTATCTCTTGCTTGGCGTTTTTGACTCATGATGCTGGGTGATACTGTACAGTACAATCACAATGAGCCCTCCACCATTACATTTAAAACAGACTTGCACAGGGTCACTGGAACAATGTCCTATGTCAGCTCCTTGAGCCCCTTCTGTTTCTTGCTCACGCACGTTAGCAGCAGCTTCCCTTTCCCCAAATCTCCCTGCAGTCACTAATCAGAGGATACTCATGAACTTCTCCTAAATCAACCGTGTTGATATCAGGTGGGATATTTCTCAGGGAATGCCTTACTGCTAAATGATGAAATAGCACTTGGCTGAACCCTCAAGGGTTAACACGTTGTTGTTAATGTAGCCTCACACTCTACAAGGCAGCACAGATGGAGGCAGGAGCGAGGAGACACAACAGACTCACGGCAGTGGCTGCAAACACTTCCCTGCAGAAACTGAAGGTGATGATGAACCCACGCTATCCCGGCCTGCTGGAGCACACCACTCCCTCCTTCGGACGGCGCATGCACGTGCTAATCTTCACTCCCTTCAGCCTGGAGTGGTTGGGGTCATGCAGCATCAATCAACTATTGAAAGGGAAAGAATTTGGAAAACCCATGTCATTCTCCATGGTAATCTGCTCCCCTACTGAAAGCCCTTTGGGTTTAGGCTAGGACTAGTAATGGAGTCAGTTTCACTTGCAGGTTCTGCTGGAGGACCAAAGGCCTGTCTTCCAGGGTGCCCTGGAAAAACCAGCCCTGCTGTACCTCCCATATTAACCACGCCTGCAACACCATGGCAGCACTGCAGCCAATGTAGCTGTGACTGTTGTAAGAGGAGAAAAATAATGTTTGCTGCAGGGCTGTGCCTCTCCCTGCTGTGTGCAGGCAGGGGCAGAGACATGCAGCTGGCATTGAAATGAATGGCAAAGCTGCCGTGGATTTCACAGACTTTCATGGGAGTAGGGCCAGGTTCTGTGCATCCCTACACCGCTTCTCCCCCTTGCTAGACCGAAGCAGGCGCTGGAATGCTATTAACTTGCTTTGGGCGGGCTGCCACCCCCTGTGTTCCTACCCTCCTCCCGCAAAGGGGGGGAGCGGATGGAACGTTGTGTCTGCAGACGCACGACAGTAAGGCGGGGCTACCACTGTGCAGCCCCTGCAACTGCTTTACAGGTGGCTGGTAGCCTCGGGCGGAGCCTCCGCAAGCGCTCGGCATAGTGCCCTAGTCCCAAGCACTTCCATCATGACTAAAGGGAAACCACCCAGGGCCCATCCCTTTGGCATTTACCATGATGAGATGATGACCAAGGTACCAAGAACTGTTATTTGATGGCAAAAATCCTTTGGATTCTGCATATCTCTCTTTACCCCATCTACCTTGTTACGTACTGCCTGGCTCGTAGAAATCCCACAGAGAAATCAGAACAGTCTAAAACACAGAAACATGAGTCCTGAAGTAACTGTCACTAATCCCATCAAGCTTGATTGTGCACAGCCCTCAGGAATGCCTCAGAGTGTCACATGTGATGGCGGCTTTTATGATGTGAATGCCTGTTCCATAGCAACTGGACTAAAACCACCCCTTGTTTCACATGGGCCACCAAACACGGTAACACCAGCTATAACATGCTAAGACTTTTCAGTCACTGCCAGTCTGCCCTAGATTTCAACTATTCTAGTCTATTCTAGACAGTTTATTATACCAGAGGCAGGAGGGAGGAGACACAACAGACTCATGGAAGTACCTGTGATCCATAGAAGAAAAGTTCTTGCGTCCAGTTACCAGTCTCCCAAATTCTAGCTGTTTTGTAGAAAGAATTGTATGTGATCACACTTACCCCAAATGCAAGGCTAACAGGTACATTACATATTAGCAGCTTTTTAAACAAGAATTGTCAAAGAATTCACAGCCAGATTCTGCTCCTCTTATCTATCTATCACACTTATATGGTTCTCATTACCATAGCACTTAAATAGCACCTCACATTCTTCAATGTATTTATTCTCACATTTTTGATTATCTCTATTTTGCAGTCACACAGGCAGTTTGTGGCAGAGCAGGGAACAGGTCTTCCAAGTCCTAGGCGAACACCCTATCCATTGGATGATCCTTCCTCTCATTGAGTAGTACCTTGTTCCCTGAGTAGCATCAGTAATTTCAATGAACCTGCTCATTCAGCAAAACGTTTCTCAATCTGAGAAAGTGAACAGATCCTGAACTAAAGGCTGGGCTATAAATATACATCGTTGTCAGCAGAAAAGTGATGATCGATAATGATAATTATCAGATCATTTCTAAAAATAAAAAGTTACTTTGTCTCCCCT